TTTTAAAAGTATTTTCACTTCCAATAAAGCTGGTAGCAACCACTATTAAACAGAGTTGTTGACTAAGTTAAAAAAAAAAGTTTAAAAGTTGACCATGTTATTTTCAGAGAGCTATTTGTCAAGGTTGCAACGAAAGTCTGCTTAAAAATAAAAATAAAATTTATATGATGATAGTTAAGAGCGTTTTCCTCTTAATATAAATTAACTTGATCTTTGTTTTTGATCTTGGTTTCATAAGGTTAGTAAAAGTATAATAATAATGGTGTTGCGATTGGAGTCCTTTTTGACGGATATATTGACAGAGTCCTTTTTGACGGATATATTGACGGAGTCCTTTTTGACGGATATATTGACGGAGTCCTTTTGGGGGATAATAGACCTATGACCATATGACACACGAGTTTAGTTTTTAAAAACCAGTTATACTGTTTGTGTAAGATAGTTTGATTTTTTCAAAAAATTTAAAAAAATATTTCATATACTTAACTTAATTAAAGCCTAACCTAATTAAAACTAAATAAAGCTAAAGCTAAATATGAGAACATTACATCAAATAAAGCCAGTTAGGTGGAAATTAGTATAAAAAGCTAATGAAAAAAAATGGGTGCCTTTGAAATAGAATAAAAATAGTAATTTAAAGGGGAAAAGAAACGCTTTAGTTTATATTAAACAATAAAAAAAGTTCTGTTAGAAGTGAATAACTCAGAAAATAGAGTTATCAAAACATTTTACACCCTGAAAAACTCATAATCAACATTATTTAAAAAAATCAAAAAAACCCTTTTATGATAGCAGTATAAAAAGCTTATGAGCACATTTAAAGGTACATTTAAAAAGTACAAGTACATTTAAAGGTACATTTAAAAGTAATTTTAAAACCTTTTAACTTAAAGATTTAAACAGCTCCCGACTCAATTTAGTAGTCGTAAATTTTACGTCGCATTACCACTTCAAAACGCTAAAATGTTTTTTGACGAAACTTGAATTCTTTTCAAGTTTATTTTTTCTTTTCACTTGGGGGTCGGTTATTTAAAATTAAATTGGGGTTGATTTTTTCTGCTCACTAGGTGTTAATAGTTTTGTTTCCACTAATTACCGCAGTCTTTTTTTTTTAGATTTGCAAAAATTTTAGGTATTATAAAATGTAATTAACTTTTTAATAAATTAAAAATTTCAATCTGAAGAAAAAATATCTTACTTTGTATTATACCTTATTTTATATTACTTTGTATTATACCTTATTTGACGCTTTAGTTGTAAATATAGTAAGTAAATGTAATAAGACTTTAAATAGCATAAGTTTTGCGCGTCAATAGTTTTATGAATTCATTTATATATTCATAAATCATAAATCTAAAAGACGCATTACTCAGCCTGGCCGTTATTAAGATTTTGTAGCGGTTAGACTATTCAACCTGCAGGAAAACTATTCAATCTGCAGGAAAACTATTCAATATGCAGGAAAGCTATTCAACCTGAAATAGCTAAAGTAAAACTAAAACTTTAACTTTTAATGTTTTTTTTTGACGGCATTCTGAATTATAAACTAAGCATTATGAATTTTAAACAACCTAGTCGCCCGTAAGCAGGCTGGCAAAGTAATTGAAATTTTGTTACAATTTCTTATTTTGTCTTTTAATCTATTTGAATTAGCTATACAATGCTTGTCTGTTTCCATTTATTCAGTATTAAACCTGAAGTCAATCAACACCACTTTAACAATGTGTTTATGCGAATGTATACCAACTTCTCTCTAATAACACACTGCAATAATTTTTTTTTTTTTTTTTTGTTACTGTTTCATGCAATTTTTTTACTTACGACACAGATATGGAATTAGGTTTTAACTTTCTTTTTTTTAGGACAAAGTGGCAAAATGTTTTTAGAAAACCCATATAAAACAGTTAAATACATAAGATACGCTTAAAGATTCATTTTTTTATTACTTTATAGTTTATTCACCTTTGTATTCTTCCATATATGCTACAGGCAAAATGCAACAATTATGTATACATTTCTCAAATTTCCTAAAATGTCTTATTGGCAACGGCTTATATGAGTTTACATTTTTGCTTTTTAGAATTAGGTTATTGTTATAGCAGGTTTATGTTTGTTTATATTATAAACCAGAATTAGATATTCAACACAATTAACAGAACACAAACATAAGGTTAATTAATAATAATAATACAAGTCATACATCGAATTCCTATTAACAACAATTTTCATCACACGTTTTTGATTTAAATTTATAGATGCTTTCCGAATTAAAAATTAAACAATTCTGATTGGTTATTTTTAAATTCAATGATTTTTTTCGAGAAAAAACATTCAAACAAAATTCCCTTGTGAGATTTCACCTGGCGGACATTGCAAATTTGAAAGAATTAATATGAGTCAAAAATTAGTTACCTCTCTTTATAAAAGAGAAATTTTAAAATATAATTTTAAAATTTTTAAAAAATTGTAAAAATACAAGTTACCTTTTTAATGTTTGATAAATACCTTGGTAAATAATATAACAAAAATAACCAATATATTTTTATATTGACAATAAACGCATTTTATAATTTTATTGATAAAAACTGTATAAAACAATATGACGAGTTAGTTTTATTTTAAAACTTTTATATTAATAGATCAACCTCGCAACAATGTTTTATTGTTGTTTTATGCAACTTTTTTCAATATGCGTTTAAAATAAACTTGTTTTATTGTCAGCGTGAACGAGTAGTAGCCTATAAAGCCGTCAATACCTGTTTTATCAATTAAAATGGTGTCATAGAGTTTTATTTAGAGAAAAATATAAATATAACGCTTTAAGCTAAAGAAATTTTTTATTTAACTGCGTTTAGGTCAATATACTTTATTGAAAACTGTATTACAATCTTCAAGTTAACTTTATTAATTACAGTAAGTTACGTGTTGTCAATCTTATGAATTTGTTTTTAGACGCAACGCTACCGAATGGAACGTGAAGAAATTTAAATCGTGTGTAGATGGGTGGTTATGTGGAACAGAGTTCAATTTCCTTGCCCATTTCGGCGCCATGCTTTATGTTTTATTTATGATTTTGGTCTTTAAAAAGATCAACACAAAATGTGTTCAGAAATGTTCAAGGGTGAACTGATTTACGTATGAAGTGCATTTCCATTTACGCAAGTAATATGTTAGTAATGAAAGAAGATTATTCAAAAAAAAAAGTATTCAGGCCAGTTACGCAAGAAGCGCATTCAATATAAATACGTTACGCTATTACATGTGTTTTAATTTTAATTTATACAATCCACTTTTAAATTTGATTTGCTTTCTTATAAGAGTGGTTTCTTTGTATTAAATTAATATGGTTTTCTAGTTAAAAAAAATGTCGCTATATATAAAATTTAAAGTATAATATTTTTTGCAAGCTCAAAAAGTCGCTGATTTAAAATGGTTTCAGTGAATATGAACTTTGTAGCACGTGTTGCTATATATTTTCCAACAAATAGTTTATGTGTATAGTCACGTGATTTTTAAACAAACAAATGGTTTATTGTAATAAAGCTTACAATGTTTTTTTTACAAACTTTGTTCACGTGATTCGTATTTATCCTTCTCTAAAACAAGTCGTACCGAACTTTCCGTGTTTATGTCGTTTAAATTATAATACGGAGTAGCGGTTAGATCAAAACAGTTATTAAAGCCACTGATACAGATGTAGTTGTAATTTATTGGTTTAATGGTAGTTAAATAAAGGGTTTAAAATTTGAAACATTGTTTTTCATTTTAAACGTGTTTTACTACTTAAATGTAGACTGCACCGCCATGACAAAATTTTTATATATTTTTTGTTTAAAGATTAACACACACACACACGTATATATATAATATATATGTATATATCATATATATTACATATATATGTATAATACATATATATTTATACATTTATATACATAATATATGAAATATATTATGTATTTAATAAAATAATGTATAATACATTTATATTTATACATTTATATACATAATATATAAAATATATTATTATATAAATATATTTAAAAAAATACATTTATATACATAAAAATTTATATTTGTTATATTATATATATATATTATATTTATATATTTTATATTTAAAATTTTATAATTTATATATAACATATATATATATATATATATATATATATATATATATATATATATATATATATATATATATATATATATATATATATATATATCATATATATATATATATATATATATATATATATATATATATATATATATATATATATATATATATATATATATATATATATATATATATATATATATATATATATATATATATATATATATATATATATATATATACATTTATATATTATAAAATTTTAAATATAATATATATAAATATATTATATATAATATAATAAATATAAATTTTTATCTATATAAATGTATTTTTTAAAATTCATTTATATACATAATTTATATTATATATATAAATGTATAAACATATATATATATTTATATATATGTATATATGTATATATATATATATATATATATATATATATATATATATATATATATATATATATATATATATATATATATATATATATATATATATATATATATATATACAAATATGTAAACATGGGACAACAGTCTTTTTTTTTATTATTATTACATTAATTATTTCTTATGTTTAGTCTTCACTGACATGAGCACAACAAACAAAAAAATAAAATAGGCCACTTAACTGTAGGATTACCTATATATATACACATAATAAATATGGTGGGTTAGAGTAGTGATCAATTTTTTCATCATTTGATTTTTTTTTTTAAAATCATGTGTAAAAAAGTAAGCAAAGTCTGCAAATGTGTAACTACGTACACTATAATATATATATATATATATATATATATATATATATATATATATATATATATATATATATATATATATATATATGTATATATATAATATGTTTTTGTATATAGAGTAGAAAATTTATGTATCTATAAATTAGAAAACTATTTTAATTAAAAATGGCATCAATGGCATCTCTTTTTTCTTTTACTTCTCCTGCTGTCAAGCGATTACTTGGTTGGAAACAAGGTGACGAAGAAGAAAAATGGGCTGAAAAAGCTATTGATTCACTTGTAAAAAAACTAAAAAAAAGAAAAGGTGCTTTAGAGGAATTAGAAAAAGCATTGTCAAACCCTAGTTCTGGCAATTCTAAATGTGTAACTATTCCAAGAAGCTTAGATGGAAGGCTGCAGGTTTCTCACAGAAAAGGGCTTCCTCATGTTATTTATTGTAGAGTTTGGAGATGGCCTGATCTTCAAAGTCATCATGAGTTGAAGCCATTAGATTGCTGTGAGTTTGCATTTAGTTTAAATAAAAAAGAGGTTTGCATAAATCCCTATCACTACCGAAGAGTTGAAACTCCAGGTAAAATTTATCTTAGTTTTCAAAAACCAAGTAAAAATTTATATAAATAACAACAATTTATTTATCCAAAATAAAGTGTTTATGTTTATTGTTTGAGAAACTTAAATTTTTAGTTCTTAAATTTTTGTTAAGTCTGCTAGCAACTTATGTTGTGAACTGTGGAGTACCACTTGATGGTGCTTGGATATTACCACCATAGGTAGGCACATAGAAAACAGCTTTAACGTGAGTATAAATTGGCCTGAAGTGGGCATTTGACACAAATGATTTTAGTACATAGATGAGTTTTTCCGTAAATTCACTTAAAACACCTTTAAAAAATTTCTAGATGTTTTTTGATATTAATTTGAAAAAAAATTAATATATTTTTACATAAAATTTTACATACGACAACTTTTGCATTTAAACAAATATGTTTTCTATAATTAAAATTTTCATGAGATAAATTTTCGTAACAATTTTTTTTTTTTTTTTTAACTTATTCAAACTTATTCGAATATTAGAAATTCCTTTTTGTAAAAAGTTAAATAATCTAAATTCCTCTTTTCAGTTAAATGCGATCAATTTTTAATAAAATAATTTTCCGTGATTTTCCAGGATTATCATAGAAAAAAATTTCCGGGATTTCCTTAAAGTCAAATACTCATCTATGTTAGTAGTCAATGGGTGTAATGTGTTAGTGTAATGTGTTAATATGTTATACATAGCAAAAAAAGTGTGTAAATACTGTTAAGTTTTAAAACATGAGTCATTTTTCAATTTGTAAATTTAACATTTAATTTAAATGAAATTCATACAACTAATTCACAAGAAGTTTCCTTCTTTTATATATAAAATTTTTTATTTATTTGAGGTTATTATTTTTTATTTATTTGAGGTAATATATCTTTTAACATTTATTCTCTTTTATAAGTTTTTATTTTAAAGGTATTTTACTTAAACATAACTGCTGTATTATAAGAGTATTATTTCTTATTTCTTGCTTTAATTTTTAAAATGTTTTTCGTTAAAAAAAGTTCTTTCAAAAGAAACTTTTTTCCTCTTGGAAATATTAAACATTCGACTTTTTCTAAGCATAGACACAAATCCACTTGCAAAATGAATCTATCCATAATCTAAAAAATAAAAATATTATGAAAGTGTTCAATGTGTTGGGCTGATCGTTATTTCCACCTTGTTTTAAAAATATGATTATGATCATGTAAAATAAAAAAATTAAGATAATTACTGCAAAGTGTTGAACAGGCCTAGGATATTTCCAGGAAGCAGGATAGTTTAATGTTCTTTAAAAAAAAATAATAATAATAACGAAGGTATGTTTTTCATTAAATATTTTAAACATAACAATTATAATTATAATAATTTCTTTAATAATAAGCTCATAATTATTTATTTAATAATAACAAAAGATCCTGCAGAAGAATATGCAAAATATAAGCCTTCTACCTCTACTTTTAAGATTTTTTGCTTGAGATCAATGAAAAGTATTATCAGCGTTAAAATTAAGTTAAAATTATCATGGCAACTAAGTTATTCAAAGTAGGTAAGACAATATAAATGTTGCAAACTAGTTTTTATACTAATATGTGCAACATGTCACTTCAAAAACTAGTTTGCACAAGTTTACAACATATAATCTACATGTTTGCAACATGATGTTGCAACCTTAAATAAATTATTGTCAATTGGTATGACTTTGAACACTTTTTAAACATTTTTGCATCATAGAAGAAAATTGTCAGCCTAATAGCGATTAGGCTGACAGTTTAAAAATCTTCTTGGTATGCGTTTATTCTTTTGTTTTAATCTAAAAATTTTAGCCCAAAATTTTTTTTGTATCATTTTTTTAAATTTAAACATAGCATGTCTCAGAGGTTTGAGATCCCTTCAAGCATTAATGGATGTTAGATAAATCAAACTAAATTTACCTAAGAAATTCTTGTTCTTCAAGTAATTCATTTTCCGGAAATTCACACTGGTGTTCAAATCAAATAATATTTGATTCGAACACCATGTTTCGAGTTTTTTGAAATCCCATTAGGCAAAATTCATCTTATTTTTACCAATAATGCAAGTAATAAAAAAGCTGCAGTAAAAAACAGCAGCGTGTCATCAATTTTATGCTTTATCCTTAATTTGCAGCTATGTATTTATGGCTCTATATTTAGCCAAAAATACATCAAGGACATTTTAACTTTATGCAGAGGAATAACAACACATTTTAATCATTTGCCAAGATTGTGCAATATTAAAGTCAACCAGCAGCAATTAAGTATTGTACCTCACAAAATGAAATGATGTTTCATCTTGCTGAAACAGTTTGTTTGAAATGCTATAAAGAATGTTTGAACAAAAAGTTTCCTTTGCCATTTATGCATCAGAATTTGATGAAATTAAACTTCCTTTTAACTGTTAATGGGGAATAGAATAGAATAAAATTGTTCACATTTTAGCTCCATTTAAAAACTTAACATGTGGCAGGCAGGATGAAACTTGCACACAATTATACCATTTGTTTTTGCATTAAAAGTTTTATTAAAAAAAGTTTAATTGAGTTATAAATACGCCAAAATTATGATGATGATTAATGAACTAACAAAATCTGTTACTAAAAGATTTGATAAATTTTTGTCTAATAAAATGTTATGCAAGCCTTCCTGGAAAGCGTGTGCGATTGCATACCACGCTTAAAGTAATTTTTATAACAACTTGAATATGTTTTTATATAGAAAGTGTTATGTGAATTTGCAGCAAAATAAAGCTATAAGAAACTAAAGAGAATAAAACAGCAACACTCACAAAAAAGAAACAAAGACTATACTAAATAGAAATTTTAAATAAAATAAGGTAAAAATTTGAATATTAAAAAAAGAAAAGTGTTTTTCAAAAGAATAATATAATTAAAAATTTTACTATTTTTGTTTTCTTATTTTAGAGCGTTTGTTATTTTCCACTACCGAAATTGATACAAATTGAGGAAAAAAGCAGATAAGAATATAACAAAAATAAAAACATATACAATTTTTTCGCAACTTTTTTCATTCAACATGTTAAGGAAATACTTTATCATTTGTGCTAGAAACATGGACTTTTTAAATTTGTTTTTCAAATGTTTTTGCTAAACTTTACTGTTTTTGTCGATGCACAGAAAAGTGAGAAAACTTTTTTATTTTTCATATAAGTTTTTAATGTTAAAGAATAAAAAGTCATTAATACTAATACTTAAATCTAAAATCTTTGGTTGTTTTCAATACCTCCATTGAATAGTCTGCACTTTAGTTGGATTATCCAAATTGTGCTTTTTAACCCGATAGTTTATTTCCTGATGAACTATTATTACTGACGATGCCCAAAAAGCTTGTGTGCTAGTGCTTTGTTAATTTACAGAACTTTTTTAACGAAATCTTTAGGAGCCAATTCAAAACTTTTTTTTAAGTTTTTAAATACATTTTTTCAAACAGAGCAATCGTAATGTTCATTATCTCTTGTAATTTGTTTTAACATTGGAAATTAGACAATATAAAAGAAACAATTTCAGGCACGCATTAAATATGGTAAATACATTTATTAAAGAAACCATGTTATTGTTTTATTTAAATTATTCCATTATTACAAAATTTATTAATGTATTTTACAAATAAATAGCGATTTATTTTCTTATTTTCCTATTATACAAGTATTGATAAAAAGCGTCAAATATAGCAAAAACATTTTTAAAAGCAGAAAGATGTCAAAATGAATTAACATTCGAAAAAAATTTAACAAAATTTCATATAGTTCTAGTGAACATAGCAAATTAGTTTTTTTATTATAAGGACTGAAAATTGTGAATAAATTGCCTATCAAAAATTTCTATTGTTGTTAAATTGTTATAAAAGATAATATGTTTTTTTCATCAACTTGTATAAAGTTTGGAAGCTAAAAACAATGACTCTAAAAAAAAGAATACAAAAGGTGTATAAAAATTAAAAATTTTTTTTTTTAATTTTCTTTTTTTAATTATTAAATTTTCTAGTTTATTTAACTTAACTTGGTATTTTGCTACAGTTTTGTTTCCTTTTTTTAATATTCTTTTTTTTTTTTTTAGTAGATAAGTTAAGCTTTTTGCCGCAAATTATTGAAACGCTTTATAAGTTATAAAATGTGAACTGCCATGATCAGTTTGTCTAAAAAAATTACCTTGTTCGTCAAAAAAGTTGTCAAACAAGGCTTGCGACCACACACGCTTCCTGGGAAGGCTTGTTATTTGAATCAACATTTTTTAGATCCATGATAAAAGTTACTTTATTAACATGCTGATGAAGATGTTATTAAGGTGTGGGTTCAAGAAGAATAGAATGAAATGCAAGGAGCGCGAGATTTCGTTGACTATGAACCAGGTGATGTTCCCATAGTGAAAGCTCTAGCCTCTGCAGTATTGATGATTATTTTAAAGATATAGCTTCTATGAGAGCCAGAAGAAAACAAAGAAAACAAACTTGAGAAAGCAAAGTGTAAAACGTTCAGAGGCAGAAAAAGAGCCGAGAGGGATTAAAGTTGTTACCATTAAACTAACTAAGAAGCAAACAGTATTAGGGTCTGCAATTATTCAAAAAATAGACAACTAGTTATCTTTGCCTTTTTTAAAATATAAAATTTGTCTGTTTTTGTGGTGGAGTAAATGTGGGATGCAATATGAAAAACTAAAAAAGATGGCATAAAGTAATTTACAGCACCTCAGTCATCATTAGAAAGTGAAAGATTATTTAATGCTGTTGGTGACATATACAAAGCAACAAGAAGCAGTCTAAAAGCAAATAATGGAGAATACTTAATGTTTGCTCATTTTAATCTGAAGTTAATTAAACAATTGAAATAAAACAATAAGTGATGTCTAATTTTTTTTTGTTTTAAGTTTTATTTCTCACTACAGTTGAGATCTACTTTTTATTTTGTTCCAATTTTCTGTCTCTTTTAATCTTTTATTTTTCATAACATAACTTTTGATTAATTAGTGCATT